GGAGGACATGGACGAGGGCGACGCCGCTGCCGTCAAGGCTCAGGTTGACAAGAGCCGCGGCGGCGGTAGGCCCCCTTTCCGTGGTGGACGGGGTGGCCAGGACCGCGGTGGACGCGGCGGGCGTGGTGGACGCGGCGGTGGACGTGGTGGTGGTGATCGCGGCGGTCGCGGCGGTCGCGGTGGCAAGGGTGGTATTGCTGCCGGCCGCAAGGGACTTGGCGAGGACAGGAGACGGTCAGGTGGCCCGTCGGGCGGAGGCATCAACAAGGGTAGAGGTGGCCGTGGACGGAGATGAGAAGATTTTGCGAAGGAGATGAGTTGAAGGGGGAGAGGGGGTTTTCTTTGAAGATTTAAAAGTGTGATTATACCCATTCAATGAGGTTAAAAGCGACCCCGAGTTGAAAAGGGAAAAAGAGGGTTATCTCAAACATTGTCATGTCGGCGTCCTGTCGGGTACGGTACAAAGAGAAAAAAAGAAATTGATATTTAAAGAAGACGCGGCCAGAAAGAAATACGTATTTCATGCATCAGTCAAGGCGTCTGTCAAACTGTCACTTGTCTAAGAGTCATGGTGATCTTTTTTCGTTTTTGATACGTCTGTCTGTCTCTGTTTGGACTCGGCCTTGCTTTCAAACCCAGACCAGGGGCTTTTCCCCAAATCGTTATATGACATTGCACTTGAGGCCCTTTGTCTCTCTCTCTCTCTCACTTTGCTCGCAAAAAAAGGACACATAGGAAAATGAAAACTGAATGAGGTTCCCAATGGCAAAGGGGTGAAAAAAGTACAATCGTGGTAGAACCCTTATACAACCCAAAACTCCGGGCCCCGCACTCCCGACGGGGTTTATTGTTACTGCTGCCAACGCTGCTACTCCTGCTCCAGTCCTTCATCTGAACTTGCTGTAAATGACGGCGACAATGAGAAGAACCAGGATGGTGATGATGGAAATCGTAATCACCCGGTTGGTAGCCATCCTTTTGAAATGTGTTAGCCCGAAACCAATCCACCTTGAGAACATCCAACAACCAAGGGGATATAGGGACGATATTTACCTACGTGCCATCCCCCGCAACGTCTTGACGCTACGGTCCACGTATCCCTCGCTCTCAAGGAGGCGCGATTGGGTGTGCATGATGGTCTCGCGCTGGGTATGCAAATCACCCAGAATACCAGCCCCAATGCCCTCCGTCTCATTGGCGAGAGCCTGGCTAGCCTTGAGCCGCTGCGTGGAGCGATCGAGGCGGTCGGTGCCCGAAAGCAGCTGCTGGCGCTGCTCGAGCTGGACGTCCTGGCCGCTGCCCGAGGGGTTGTCGGTGTAGCGCGCGCCAAACAAGGCGGCGCGGTCGTCGGCGAGGGAGCGCAGCTTGCGCTTGTGGCCGTCAATGTCGGACTCGTGGTTGCGGAAGCGGGCGTTGATCTTGGAGCGGAGGGTGGTGGGGATGTTTGCCTTTTCGAGGCGCATCTGGGCGAGGAGCTCGTCGGCCTCTTCGAGGGCGCGCTCGGCGGAGGAGAGGGCGGCTTTGCGGGGCTCGCCTGAGAGTTCGGGGATCTGGTCGAGTTTCTGGACGAGGTCGGCTTGGACGAGCTTCAGCTCTGCTTCGTAGTCGCCAAAGCGCTCGGAGCCGGGCTCGGTTTCGAGTGGGTTGGACATGGTGGCGGATAGGTCGTTCGTCGTCGGGTAGTTTAGAGGATGGCGGGAGATGTCGTGGTGACCTTTGCCTTTGGTAGGGCGAAAAGGGATGGAGTGAGAGGATGGAGAGGGGCCTCCTTGTCGAGAAGGTTGTGGGCGAGTGGTGATCGTTTGGCTTCGTTAGGTATCACAGGATTGTATGGTCGTCACTGCGGGTTCGTCGGGGTGGTAGTTGGATCAGTGCCGAAAACGGTCAAGGGCGAGTGGATTGTTGGTCTTGATGAATGTACTTGGTCGCATGGAGTACGGAGGTGTATGCGTAAGTCAGGACCGGCCTTGGCGACATCATTCCTCCCGAGTGGCTGGTGCACCAATCGGGTGCGACGAGATACTAGGCTCCAGCCACTGGACCTTTGAGTTTGCGCATTTAGGTGCCACCTTAACAATTTCAATGAGGACACACGTGATATGCATGGCCCAAGCGCCCGCCCTCCGCGTCCCCGCCCGCGGGTCAGGTCTTTTTATGAGAATTCGATCGGCGCCAAACTTCGTTTCCCTCTTCTTCTTCTTCTTCTTCAAAGTTGAACCCCCGGCTCTAGAAGAAACCGGCTCCGCGTCGCCAGTCTGGAAATGCATTTATGTGTCTCTCGTACTTGGACGTGGAGTTGAACTTAAGCCGGGTAGACTAATGGCAGTTGAAAAATTGTCACGGCGCTTTTAAGAATTGGGGACTCGTACTACCGTTTCCCGATCCCGTTGAGTGTTCGACATACTTTCGTCGTCTACCCTTGGCCTTGTGATATCTTGATATGAAACGGCCGTTGACTTTGGTTGCACGCTTTTGGCCTGCTTAAAATCTCTGCGCACTGCACATTTCAAGTGCTTGTCGAAATATCGTACCTCCGTTCGCAGTGTACGGAGAACCCCATTGAAGGATTCACCTGTCAGATGCCATGCGGGTCAAGCATGTCCATAAATCCACATGAAAGATACGTGGATATTGATGACAATGCCTTCAGCTTGCCCAGATATATGCGTAAGCGGCGCGTCAGCAATGGCCGCCTGAAGACGTTCCACGAGGCAGCTCGTCGTATCTTGAACTGAGGTGCTGCAAGGTAGAATCCAGGCTTCCATTGCTATCTTCACGAAGGCGTGGCGCTTGCCAGTGTTCGTAACTATTCCAACGTGTCCCAAATTTCAGGTACATTGGCAGTCGATCGTCACAAATGGGACGTACTTTTCCGCGCGTCCCAGCCTTTTAGGCTTCTTCAAACGCGCGTTCACGTGATCAAAAAGGTATCTCGAGGTGAATATGGAAAGAGATCGGTACATCTGCCTGACAGAGAGTGTGTCTATCACGCCCTCGCGAGATAAATCCAAGCATATCCACATGGCTGAAGCTGTATGAAAATACCTCCTTCATGGCAAAATCTGCGAAATCTCTGCCCGTATGCCCTTATTGCGCAGCGCCCGTGTGATGTGGAAGGAAGTTCCTTCCCGCAAAAAGATTTCTCGTCGAAAAGCGGCAAAATCGCAAATTTCCTGGGCGGTGACCAGCCATTTGTCGAAAATTTCAGCAGTCGTCGCCCACCGCAGGCAGCAAAGCCCACCAAAACCCACTCCAACCACCCATGGCCCGAGCGCCTCGACCGGTCGCTCGAGAAATCTATATAACGGCGACCTTCCACCGCCAATCTTAGACTCTTCTTCTTCTTTTTTCTTCATGTCGACAATACTTCAGAGAATCATTTCTATAGTATTCGACCTACTCTTGGTTCCCTAAAGGAGCTACAGATCCCACCCTGGTTGATGATTGATATCCTCGACACCCTAGAGTGAAGAACTCTGGTTGCTCTCGCACCCTCCGCAAGGAGGGCGGCTTCTAGACAATTTCGGTTGTCTGTCTCTGTATAGAGAGCGGTGATGATCTCGTCCCTGATTGTGGTCTTGCCCTTGGGCGCACGGTCAGGGTGGGTGTCGATGGACGTCTGACAGGCCTTTTTTCTCTTTTTCATTGCTTGCTGGAGCTGGTCTCTGGCAGTGAGGAAGAAGTTTTGATCGTCTGCGTCGCGCAGAGTTTCCCTGTTGATTCATTCCTCGGGACGTTTGCGCGTGTGTCTGCATCCTGTTGTGAGAGTCCATAGCTTCGAGTCAAGGAGACCAGCTTTGACGGTCAAACATGCATCAGCTCGATCCCATGGGTTGGCTTGGGTCCAGAGAATAAAAATCCAATGGCGGCTTCCAAGGCAAGAGCGATGAAAGTGCCTTCATCGTGAATTTCCGTGATGTACTTTCCGCGAAACGACTACGCTGATGAACGGCAAGTTGATGGCTGCGTTCTCGTCTGTTGTCGCCATACTTCGCTATCCACGAACATGCGTTCATCCACGTGAAGCGTCTTAACCATCAAATTGACAAGTTCTGAGTGTTGGATCTGCAGCTCTCGCCTCGAATATTCAGCCTCATTTCGGAAAAAAGATGTCTGGCCCAGCCACTTGTGGCGTCTTGGATCGTGAACCATCGAGCGATAGTTGAAGTTCGGCAAGACAAGGGGGGCTGGGGAAAGAGTTGGGGACGCAGAAGGATCAGGTGCAGGGGTGTCCCAATGCAAGCGTCATTGCGCGTGGGAACTCCGGCAAGAGCTGAGTTTCGTTTCATCGCATCGTGATCAGCCGGCCGAACACCTGCCGACGTCTTTCCGTGCCCGTCTCACCTTTTCTTTCTCTTCCTTCTTGTCACCTAATCCGCACCAGAAACTTATCCCAAAGTTTAGAAAGGGTCCTCAAGCTCCGGCTCTGATACCTTACCTTCTGCGCCTCGCATTACCTATTCCCAGCCCTTGCTACCGGCAGCCACGTGTCGATCATTGCTTGCTCCAGAGCTGAGCTTCCTCTCCCAAGGGACTCCACCAGACTCCTATCGAACCCTCAGAAACAAGAATCAGAGGCCAAGATGCCGCCAGGTCAGCCGCTGTACGTTTTGTTTCTCCGCTTGTCTCACTGAGCTCTGGTTTCTTTCGCTCTCGGCCTACGGAGTACACACCGCATTCATACCTACACACACATACCTCGTATGGTGCGCACACACACAGCTCCTGCTGCTTCCACTATCATAGCCCCAAAGACCGCTACCTGTTTGAATCCGTTCCATCCCTTCAGCTGCATGAGTTGCAGCACTAGTAAGCGCATTGGTCCGGAGCCCAGCCCAGCCAAGTGGTGGTGGTGCTAGCTCCCATCCCCCCGAACCTGGGGCGGGGTGTCAGTCACAGTGACACAGAGACAAGGTGTGAGTTTGGCTTGCTGGAAGCATGTGCGAACCATTGTTCTCTTTCCCCAAATCGTCGTCCGTGGCTTGCGTCTGAAAATTCCCCTCTCTTGCCCGCTGTCATTCCATCCAAGATAGAGAGCTGTTACCGGCCTCCCCGATTCTTCCTGCCGCATCTTTATATGCCACTGTAGCATTGCAACCTGCGCGCTCGCGCGACAGACGTCCAGTGGCTTTGTTCAAAGAAAATCCACAAACCTCACATATCCCTACGCTCTTCCTTGTATCTTTTGCATGATGTCTCGACGACCACCGTCGCTGGAATCAATAGGCTCTCGCGCCTCTGTGGGCTCTCCCATTGACCCAAGGTTTAGGAAGAAGGTTGCTGTCGTCGGCAGTGGATCCGCAGGCATCGCGGCTCTGTGGGCACTCAACCGAAGCTACCATGATGTTTATATGTATGAGGCTTCCTCGAGGCTAGGCGGACACACGAATACGGTGACCTGGAAGAACGGGAAATATGAGACCCGTGTCGACACCGGCTTCATTGTCCTCAATACCGCCACATATCGTAGGTCCTCTGCACCATCCATTATGAGCGTCTGACTTACATGCCACTCAGCAAACTTCATCAACTTTTTGAAGAGGGTCAAGGTCGACACGGTGCCAACCGAGATGACATTTGGCGTCACTCGAGACCATGGCTTGTTCGAATGGGCTGGTAAAAGTCTAGATTCCGTCTTCGCTCAAAGACAAAACATCTTCTCGCCGCGGATGTGGAGGATGATCTTCGACATCATCCGTTTCAATCAATTTGCACTGGACCTGTTGATGGCGGAAGATGAGAATGATGCTGCTGCGATGAACGGATACAGCAAAGGAGGCAAGAGAGAGGAAACGATCGGCGAGTACCTCGAAAGAGAAGGCTACTCGGATGCCTTCAGAGACGACTACCTGATCCCTATGACTGCCGCCGTATGGAGCACCAGTCCGGATAAGTGCACACTGAACTTCCCGGCCGTCACCTTGGTTCGCTTCATGTAAGTGTTATTATCTATGATCGGGGTGTAGTACTAACGGAGACCAGGTGGAATCATCACCTACTTTCAACTGTTGCAACAAGACCGGAGTGGCTCACATTGAAGAAGTGCGGCAAATCCTATATCGATGCTGTCATGAGCGGATTCCCGTCAAATCACCTTTTCCTCAACACGCAAGTCACACAGGTCACCAGCGAGGAGGACGGCAGAGTTCGTGTTCACACTCACAACGGCAAGTCCGACGTCTACGACCATGTTATCTTGGCGACGCACGGAGATCAGGCCTTGAGAATTATCGAGGGATCAGCCACGCCCGAGGAGAAGGAGATTCTTTCCGCATTTCAGACGTCTGAGAACTCTGTTGTCCTCCATTCCGACATCTCACACATGCCGGTATCTGAGAAGGCATGGTCTAGTTGGAATTACCTAACCCTCTCATCACCCTCTACCGGCAAGCAAAACATTGACCAGGTTTCTTTAACCTACAACATGAACATCATCCAGCACATCCCCCGCGAGACCTTCGGAGACGTCCTCGTCACGATGAACCCCTTGCACCAGCCGAACCCAGACACGATCCAGGGGTCATTTACGTATCGTCATCCTCTCTATACACCTGCCGCGGTCCGCGCACAGAAGCTTCTTCCGCGCATCCAGAACAAGAGAGGCATCAGTTACGCAGGTGCCTGGACAAAATACGGGTTCCACGAGGATGGCTTCAGCAGTGGACTCCATGCCGCACAGGACCACCTCTATGCTAAACTTCCATTCCAATTTGTCGACTCTACGTACAGCCGCGGGAGGAAGCCATCTCTGGGACTTGCCGACTTGCTGGTACGACTCGTCATCCTTCTAATTCAGGTGTTTGTCATTAGAGTACTGGAGAGAGCGGCGGGTGTAGCTGGGACTTTAATTTACGGTCGTAGAAATGGGTGGAGGAGGTCTTTGAAGAGTGGCAAAGCTGCTTGAATCGGCGTAATGGTAGTTGGCGTTGGACTACTTCATACGGCTTGACGAAATGAACAGCATGAAGTCGGTGTAAATGATAGTACATAATCAACGAAAACATCTAATACTGCGTAAGGTACTGACAGAAACCATGAACTCCAGCATCCGCCAGTTGGGTTATCAATGACATTGGAGTTCCTCAGGGCATCGAAGTGCATTATCCTTGTTGACCAGGGGCTCTTCAGCGGGGACTAGAGCACAATCCCAGCGCATAGACCCCTATAACCCAACGAACTGGTGCCCCGGGGCGGAACAACCACCCCGCCCGCCCCGGCCTCTTGGTGACCGTCCGATGCCACCAAGCTAGAGCTAGGTCGGTCCCCAGATCCCGATGAAATGCGAGATGGCATGACATCGTCGAACGATTCGGCGCAACGTTCCCGGCAACAACCTCACCCTCACCCTCAACCTTCGCCCCGTTCGCGACCATGAACGCCCTCCCGCGCCTCCCGTGGCGCGCATCGTCGCAGTCGACACAGAAATGGAGATGCTTCTTCTGCCAACACGCCGTCCGTCCCGCGCCGCGCAGCTTGCGAACGCCCCCGGCCAGCCGCCGAGCGGCATCGACGACGCCTTCACCGAAGCAGCAGCAGCAGACCGGGCCCAGCTTTGGCGGTGCGCCGTCAATGGAGCAGATACATGCGCATTATAAACGCAAGAACGCCACGACAGCGTAAGAGAGCAATTGGTGTCGAGAGTCAAAGAGGAACGTTGGGCTAAGGTGCTTTTGCGACCAGGTACTACACTCTCAGCGTCATTCTCGGGACTGTCGCTCTGTCATACGGCTCCGTCCCTCTCTACAAGATGGTGCGCCCTTTCTACCTCCCGACCCTCAGCAACCCCTCAATTCGAGGAGGAAATATTGCAGACAACTAACTCATCAACCCCCGCAACAGATCTGCCAAACAACAGGCTGGGGCGGCCAACCCGTCCGCGCCCACGGCCCCGACGTCGACTACAGCGAAGACGGCCTCGCCGCGCGCCTGGTACCCGTCACCACGGCCCCTCGCATCCGCGTCACCTTCAACTCGTCCGTCTCGGACATTCTCCCCTGGAAGTTCACCCCGCAGCAGCGCGAGGTGCGCGTCCTCCCCGGCGAGACGGCTCTGGCTTTTTACACGGCGACGAACAACTCGGACCAGGACATCATCGGGGTCGCGACCTACAGTGTCACACCGGGCCAGGTGGCGCCGTATTTCAGCAAGATTCAGTGTTTCTGCTTTGAGGAGCAGCGGTTGAATGCGGGCGAGACGGTGGATATGCCGGTTTTCTTCTATTTGGATCCGGATATTGTGAATGATGTCAATATGCGTGGTATTGAGACTGTGACGTTGAATTACACGTTCTTCAGTAAGTTTCATTCGCTTATTCTTTTTTGTCATCCTCTGCGAGACAGTGTGGAAGAAGGAGAGTAGGTGATGGATTGCTGACGGTGCGTAACAGAGGCCAAGTATGACGACAATGGCAAGTTCAAGGCGCCTACGCCGTTTGCCAGCAACTAGATGGAGCATATCGTCACGAAACGCGGACGACACGCTCTGTGTACCATATTTCCCACTCCGACGACGTGTTCTACCTCAAACTTCAACCTGTATAAAAGACCCCTCTAGACCTCGTTGGTCAAGCTTGTTCAACTACTACTGTGTACCCCATTGGTGGAGAGCATACCACCAGGCGTTGAAAAGAGCTATTGTATTCTGATGAATGTGGCAAAGGCGGCATATAGATATACTGTACCATGATCGTTCTTCACAAGTGCCTCCCTCTTGGTCATGGATGTGTAACAAAGTGATTTTGGCGAGCGAGATATTCCAAAGGTCCTCGCTCAGAAACACCTATATAATAAACAAGACCTACATGTGGAAAATACACTGGCAGGGCTTGATATCGGCCAGGGATAAGAGAAAAACAAATCCTCTTGCTGATTCTTTTTGCTTAGATTAGAATACGATCCTCAAATTGTTCACTATGGTCGTCGGTTGAAGGGAAAGTGGCGGGAAGCTTAAGTGGTCAATAGCCCTCATTCCTGGTCATGCTTAACTTCGCTGAACCGCAAAGCTTCAAGCCTGACCTCTGCCTTTTGCTATTCGCTGCAAGTTTCCTTTGCGATTTCACGTCTACCTTCAGCAGAACCCGGAATACCTTGTACATAACACGAGAGGTGCCTCTCTTGGCCCTTCAGAAATTCGCCTTATCTTATCAGCAGAAGATCCCGGTCTCGGCCGATCGAGCTCCAAGTCCGGCTTTTGAACTTTTTTTTCTCTTCAGGCCAATGGCACGCCAGTTCCACCAGGAGCTTGGACCAACAGGCGATTTGTTTGCACCTCAGACCTAAGTCACGTGCTCATCACCAAATTTGCAGCCCACAACGTCCGAACCACCCCCATCCTACCAAAACTTTTTTTTTCGCTAGAGGCATCTTTGAACTTTCTTGATTTTCCCAGCGACGCCCAACCTTACCGAATTCCCTTTCCAACCAAACGCCGTTCGTACTAACGCCAAGATGACCAAGGTTAACCAGAGTGAGTAGTCTTCTTGAAGCCCATGATAGCCATTGAGATGAATGCTGACTTTGCTGCGAAATAGACATCTCCGCCTCCCGCCGCAAGTCGCGCGCGGCTCACTTCAAGGCCCCCTCCAGCGAGCGCCGTGTTATCATGAGCGCCCCTCTCTCCAAGGAGCTCCGTGAGAAATACAACGTACGTCCCCTACTCAAACAACTCGGAATCATCACCAATCTAACTCTTCTGTCAAAGGTCCGCTCCATCCCCGTCCGCAAGGACGACGAGGTCACCATCGTCCGTGGCACCAACAAGGGCCGCGAGGGCAAGGTCACCTCCGTCTACCGCCTCAAGTACGTCATCCACGTCGAGCGCGTCACCCGCGAGAAGACCTCGGGCCAGTCCGTCCCCCTCGGCATCCACCCCTCCAACGTCGTCATCAACAAGCTCAAGCTCGACAAGGACCGCGAGTCCATCCTTGACCGCATCAAGGTCGGCCGCGAGCTCCGCGTCAAGTCCAAGGCTACCGCCTAAATTATTTCTCTCAATCCACAACACTCGGTCTCAATTCGTCAAATCACCATGACTCCCCTTCTCCTTCTTCAAGTGACGGGGGCTTAATGTCACTCTCAAGTCCTCACTCATAACGAGCTGGAGGAGCTAAACGACCAAAAATCCAAAAGCGGCAGTTCAAGGGAACCGGTACAAACTCAACATCACAAAAACGGCGGCGGCGGGGGGTTATGACAACGATATCCACATCTTCGACGGCGTTTTTCACGACAGGACCTTTGACGCGTTTTGGCAATGGCGAAAACATTTCGATGCTTTCGCCTGGAAAGGGAAAACAAAAGAACGCGAGGGAAAATTAAGGCTAAAGGCAACAAAAAGTTCTAGAAAATGGAATCGAGAAATTCGTTTCTCAATGGCCACCTCACGTCTTCAAACCCGTGAGATGCTCCATGGGAGGTCCTCCCGAAGCCACCACCGTTCCCTTCGGCCATGCGGAGGCGGTGATGTCTCTTGCTACATCATACCGTGACCATGCTAACCTGTCTGCTGCTATTGACTGACAAGAACACGAGTTCTGCTATATGAAATATGGAATGTTCTTGAACGGTAAGTCTACTACGTGACTCTGCACACAATCCCCGCTAGGATATCTCCGCGTCAACCACTGAATCCATGGTTTTCGAGGTATACGACTGGCGAAGAGCAATCCCCGGGAGAGGCTTTTCCAACTGGAATCACCACCTCTCCCACTCGCCCGAAGATTTTCACTGAGCTTTTGCATGAGGCTGGAGATTTGATGGTGAGATACATAAAATCTCCTTCTGTTCAGCTTTTTCCTCTCAGTTAGCGGTCAGTCAATATATCAAGAATGCTTCGGCATCACTCATGACATCACACAAAACTGCATCGTCCCCTCAAGCTGGCCACAATCATGTGTAAACTGGGATCATTAATGCTAACATAACCTAACTAATTCCGTCTTCATGAATCATGCCGTCAATCCTCCACCTTCCTAGAGACAGTGCTGTACCAAGTACGAGATGCATAATCTGTGTATCGAGAACCACTCCCTTAGAACATAACGCGGCGGCTCCTGAGTACTCGAAATCAATGCATTGATATCGGAAACCGCCATAGCACTCAAAATAATTCGTACAAGTGTTTAGAACGCGTTTTTGTAGTCATAACAGAGTAAGTAGATGCCAATGGCGTTGTGACTGAGATGCTTCATTTGATCCGCTATAATCTAAAATCAGCTCCATCACCATTGCCAGCCCAATAGACGCTACTCACGATGGAAAGGCCAGGAGGTTGGTTCTCAACGCGAACATCAGCTGATGCGACAAGCAAGCTCTGACTCGCATCCGGTTTGCCGTTATCATTCAACTTGGATGGCGACAGTCGGGTGGACTGGTTTGCAGTGTTGGCGATGGCGGGCGACAAGGAGGCTGCGGCATGGCCGATAGCATACTGAGGAAGATAGCCTTGGGCATTCTCCGAAGTGACAGCTCCCGGAAGAGCAGTCGCAGATGCAGTGACCTTCTCCGACCACGTACGAACGCTGCTGTCAAGTTAGTAAGTATGATGCACAAAGTTTGGTGAAGATTGAGACTGACCACGAGTTGAAGTAGGCTTTGTCGGACTCAGACTCGACCACGTTGTCGGACGAGATCGTACTGTCCTTCGATTTGTGAAGGCCTTGGCTGTTGAAGTGGGCAACAGGACGTGACTTGTTGCGACGCTTCATGGGCGAAGTGACATTGTCTGACTTGGTGTCTCTCTTCAGATCCTTCACTGCTTGCTCCATGTTTGGACCGGTCAATCTCTCCAAGGCGGCGAAGGGATTCTTTTCTCCCTTCATCGCGAGGCGATACTTCTCTTCGAGCCGTCCAGCTACGCGTTCATCGCTGACTACGCAACAAGGCGCCTTCTCAGGCGACGACAGCCAGAAGCTCCTGCCGTC